CCGGTTCTGGGCCGGTTCTATGATGGTTCTGGGCCGGTTCTGAGCCGGTTCTGGGCTGGTTATGAGCCGGTTCTATGATGGTTCTGGGCCGGTTCTGGGCTGGTTCTGAGCCGGTTCTGGGCTGGTTATGAGCCGGTTCTGAGCCGGTTTGGGGCCGGTTCTATGATGGTTCTGGGGCGGTTCTGAGCCGGTTCTGGGCCGGTTATGAGCCGGTTCTGGGCTGGTTATGAGCCGGTTCTGGGCCGGTTCTATGATGGTTCTGGGCCGGTTCTGGGATGGTTCTGGGCCGGTTCTGAGCCGGTTCTGGGCCGGTTCTATGATGGTTCTGGGCCGGTTCTGGGATGGTTATGAGCCGGTTCTGGGCCGGTTCTAGGATGGTTCTGGGCCGGTTCTGAGCCGGTTCTGAGCCGGTTCTACACTGGTTATAAGCTGGTTCTGGGCCGGTTCTATGATGGTTCTGGGCCGGTTCTATGATGGTTCTGGGCCGGTTCTATGATGGTTCTGGGCCGGTTCTGGGCTGGTTATGAGCCGGTTCTGGGCCGGTTCTATGATGGTTCTGGGCCGGTTCTGGGATGGTTCTGGGCCGGTTCTGAGCCGGTTCTGGGCCGGTTCTATGATGGTTCTGGGCCGGTTCTGGGATGGTTATGAGCCGGTTCTGGGCCGGTTCTAGGATGGTTCTGGGCCGGTTCTGAGCCGGTTCTGAGCCGGTTCTACACTGGTTATAAGCTGGTTCTGGGCCGGTTCTATGATGGTTCTGGGCCGGTTCTGGGATGGTTCTGGGCCGGTTCTGGGATGGTTCTGGGCCGGTTCTATGATGGTTCTGGGCCGGTTCTGGGCCGGTTCTATGATGGTTCTATGATGGTTCTGGGCCGGTTCTGGGCCGGTTCTATGATGGTTCTGGGCCGGTTCTGGGCCGGTTATGAGCCGGTTCTGGGCCGGTTCTAGGATGGTTCTGGGCCGGTTCTGAGCCGGTTCTGGGCCGGTTCTGAGCCGGTTCTACACTGGTTATAAGCTGGTTCTGGGCCGGTTCTATGATGGTTCTGGGCCGGTTCTGGGCCGGTTCTGGGCCGGTTCTATGATGGTTCTGGGCCGGTTCTGAGCCGGTTCTGGGCCGGTTCTATGATGGTTCTATGATGGTTCTGGGCCGGTTCTGGGCCGGTTCTGAGCCGGTTCTACACTGGTTATAAGCTGGTTCTGGGCCGGTTCTATGATGGTTCTGGGCCGGTTCTGGGCCGGTTCTGGGCCGGTTCTATGATGGTTCTGGGCCGGTTCTGAGCCGGTTCTGGGCCGGTTCTATGATGGTTCTATGATGGTTCTGGGCCGGTTCTGGGATGGTTATGAGCCGGTTCTGGGCCGGTTCTAGGATGGTTCTGAGCCGGTTCTGGGCCGGTTCTGAGCCGGTTCTACACTGGTTATAAGCTGGTTCTGGGCCGGTTCTGAGCCGGTTCTGGGCCGATTCTATGATGGTTCTGGGCCGGTTCTGGGATGGTTCTGGGCCGGTTCTGAGCCGGTTCTGGGCCGGTTCTATGATGGTTCTGGGCCGGTTCTGGGATGGTTATGAGCCGGTTCTGGGCCGGTTCTAGGATGGTTCTGGGCCGGTTCTGAGCCGGTTCTGGGCCGGTTCTGAGCCGGTTCTACACTGGTTATAAGCTGGTTCTGGGCCGGTTCTGAGCCGGTTCTGGGCCGGTTCTATGATGGTTCTGGGATGGTTATGAGCCGGTTCTGGGCCGGTTCTAGGATGGTTCTGAGCCGGTTCTGGGCCGGTTCTGAGCCGGTTCTGGGCCGGTTCTGAGCCGGTTCTACACTGGTTATAAGCTGGTTCTGGGCTGGTTCAGACTCTCTCTCTCTCTGTGTTGCAGCCTCTGGGAAGTGGGCGGGACATCCTGAAGGACCGCCCCCAGCTGCAGCGCTGGAGAAGCCGCGTCCAATCGGCGCTCGGCGATTCGTTCCTTGAGGCTCATGCTGTTCTGCTGGCAGTCAGAGACCGCAGGCAGGGGAGGCTGTGACATCTCAGAGGGGCGGAGTCTCTTCAAAACCAAGAATATTAGATTCTATTAACTGAAAATCATGGACTCTGATTGGCTGATTGAGATGAATGCTGTTCTCTGATTGGCTGTTTTAGATGAATAATTCTTTTCAGCACTTGAACACATTATTTTGATAATGGCCCAATCCCAACCATCCGCTAAGTCCCGCCCCCTAAGCACCCAGCCCCCCCCCACCCCCCCAGCATCGTCTCTCCAGCTGTGGAAGCGCCATGCTTGTAGGCGGGGCTATAAATGAGAACTGGACGCCCTCTTCCCACCACAACAGGAAGGCAGGTTTTGCAATGGTAACACAGTGAGACCCTGTGAATGGCTGTAGTTGTGTGACATGAAATCAAACATTTGCTCCTTTTTCTAAATAAATGAAGTCTATAAATCAAGTAATATAACATGTTATACAAATTTATCACAATAAAATGAATGTGTAAATGGAGCTGAATAATACAGATGAGTTAAATGATGTTCATGTATTAATGACGTTGTTGTTATGGTAATTACATGTTGTTTAAAGATTTCCCAGCCAGACTGTATCACCGGTCCATGTCTGTTAATGCTGTAGTATTTTCCTGTCTGCAGATTGTGAATGAATGATGTCATAAACTTTATGCTGTTTCTGTGCATCAGCCTTTAAATCTGACAGATTTAAAATAAAGCTAACTGAATGAACCAATCTAATGACTCCACAGAGCTTCAGGTTCTACACCAACCCTCTGATACATGAATCCCTGAGTCAAGACTTTTTTTAATGTGTTTTTACAAAGATTCAATTTTTTTCAGGAAGTTACAGAAATTTCAATTCAATTTTCAATTCAAAGAGTGGGTAACAGTAGAGAAGCTGCAGAGAGGTCTGTTAAACTACAACTCTGCTTCCTGGTCTGCACCCTGGGTGGTCAGGGTTTTGGAGGACTAATAAATGTGGCCAGATTCCTAGAAAGAAGAGCTGCACCATCCAAAGTGGGATGGATGCCGTCTCTCCGAATCAGACCAGGCTTTCCCCAAAAGGATTGCCAATTATTAATGTAGCCCACGTTGTTTTCAGGGCACCACCTAGACAACCAGCGGTTGAATGACGACATGCGGCTAAACATGTCATCACTGGTCAGATCAGGGAGGGGACCAGAGAAAATTACCCAGTCCCACATTTTTTTGGCAAACTTACACACCGAAGCAACACTAATTTTAGTGACCTCCGATCGGCGTAACCGGGTGTCATTACCACCAGCGTGAATAACAATCTTACTGTATTTAACCTTATCCTTAGCCAGTAGTTTCAGGTAGGATTTGATGTCGCCCGTTCTGGCCCCCGGCAAACATTTGACTATGGTCCCTGGTGTCTCTAATGCCACGTTTCTGACTATGGAGCTGCCAATCACCAGAGTGGGCTTCTCAGTGGGTGTGTCACTGAGTGGGGAAAACCGGTAAGAAACGTGAACGGGTTGGTGGTGACCAGTGGGCAGAGATCCACGACTACGCTTTCTGCGTACAGTTACCCAATCGCCTGGCTGCTCAGGCACTGCTGGAGGACAGCTACGTGGGGGGCCTACTTTAACTCCTGGATGTTCAACAGCCTGAAGCCTGGATTCTAACTCTGACACCCTCGCCTCCAAAGCTACAAAAATACTGCACTTATTACACATCCCATTATTATTGTTTTCTTATTAAATCTTTCTTTGATCCGAGATGCAGACCGAGGAACCAGTTTAGAATGACGTCTTCATTCCGAATATCAGCCACCTTTGACCCCAGGGAGCCCTGTATGTTTAGGAACGGATGACATCACAGCGCCGTCATCAGGAGGCTGATTCTGAGGTTGGACCAGCTGCACGCCGCTCAGGCATGGTGCATGATGGGAAAGCTGTGAGCGCTGAAGGCATCGTTTGGTGAATCATCTCTTCTTTGAACAGTTAATCTGTGGATTATTTATGATGGACGGACTGAACGTCTTCAACAGCCGCCGTCTCTGGGAGCCCAACGGGAAAATCCGCCGTCAAAGGATGTTCAACAATCCCAGAGGGAAGCCACCATTTCTACAGTTACTCCAGAAACATGAGCGCCGTCAGCTGAGCAGCTTCCTTCCTAAACATCTCACATCACCATGGCGATGGCGTGTTTAGCTAGGAATGGTTCAGAGGCTGAAAACCTTGATGTTCCACGGGTTCAATGACGCTTCTCCTTCAGCAATAGGCCTGGGGGGGCGGGGCTAATCTGGGTTCTAATCCCTGCTCGTCTTGGAATTATTAACTGTTAAGAGTTGGAATTAAAACTCACAAAGCAAATAATATCTAGTAGATATTGAAAGAATAAGAAGAAAATAAGGGTTCTAACTTAGTATGAATATATTAATTCCAGTAATTTCAGGATGAAACCAGAGATTAATAATTCAATGTTAATCTTTAACATATCATTTTATGAAAGTCACATTTATTACCTGTTTTCTGTCGTTCTTCCCTTTTTTCTTCATTTTCCATAAATTCATGAACTCATCAGTTATGATGAAAACATTAAAATATTTAATCCTAGACCACAAACATCCTTATTCATATTCTTATGTTTTCCTGTTCTATGTTCACATTTATGGATTGAGTCTAAAAATATCAAACATATTTTCAATAAGTATCGATATATAATAATAACTATATGTTAAAGCAAACAGTGACTTTAATCAGATTACAGGTCATCAATCGGTGCCAATACAATATCAATGCAGTTTGCAAATGGCGCCTCATCCTTAAAGATGGCGAACCTGGAAGGACGGCGGTCCAAGATGGACCAGATCAGCTGATCTCTGATGATATTGAGGAATGCTGATGATGGCGGCAGTAACCATGGTGACGTGGTACCTGGCTCTCCTCCTGTCGCTCCTCCCCTAATCACCAGGATGTCTTCCAGCAGCTAATCAGTAAATACTGAAGGATCAGAGAAGGTTTCTACCGTCAGTAAAACTCTGCAGACACCTTTTCTGTTTCTGTTCAGTCTTTATTTCAAACAGCAGAACCTGCAGCGAGTCAAAGCTTTAAGGACCAGAACCAGAACCTGAGGTTTAACCAAGAACCGGTTCCCAGGAACTTCAACAAGCTCCTGGGAAGAAATAAAAGAATCTGAAGTTTCACATTCACAGGGATGGAGGGGGCGGGGCTAAGATCTTCTTAGCAGGAGGCTCCTCCTCTTCATCATCTCCTCTTCCTCTTTTCCTCCTGGAACCGTCTCCTGCATCCTGCAAGTGGGTGGAGTCAAGATGATGAGAGAGGCGGGGCTTAATAACCTCTGTTGATGTTAATGATAAATCTTTCCCATGTTGCCATGGTTACCTGTGGAGTACCACAGGGATCAGTGCTAGGACCAATTCTCTTTACTTTATACATGCAATCAATTGGTAGAGTTATTAGACAGCATGGGATTAATTTCCACTGTTATGCTGATGATACCCAGCTATATCTGTCTATAATCCAGATGAAGCTAACCCATTACATAGATTACAGGAATGTCTTGAAGACATAAAAACGAAAGTTACGTATGTAACTACGGTTCTATGAATCCCGGATGACCGCCAGAGGGCGGTGCTGAAAGCACTGAATGTTCCCTTCGGGCATGCGCAGTTCGAGTAATTATACCAACAGAGTCACACCTGTGACACCGGATGACCACTCAGAAGCTATATAGCCTGGTGTCATCCTTTGCTCTGCTCCTACAGAATCTTCTCGCAAAAGCAAGGATTCTGAGTGACAGAGAAGCTCTGGCGGTCATCCGGGATTCATAGAACCGTAGTTACATACGTAACTTTCGTTCTATTTCATCCCTACTGACCGCCAGAGGGCGGTGCTGAAAGCACTGAATGACTAATGCCAACGATGTCACAAGGAATCCTGAGCACATACCTCACAGAGGAGGCCCAGCAGAACCTTGTAAAAGGACCTGACCCAGGGGATGAGGGGCAGCCACATTGACACTGTAGAACCTGGTGAAGGTGGTTGGGGAAGCCCATGAAGCAGCAGCACATATAGCTTCCAGCGGAACCCCTCTCAAAGCAGCCCAGGAAGCGGTGACGCTCCTGGTGGAATGTGCTCTCACACCGACTGGCAGGGAGCAGTGACCTGCAGCGTAGGCGTGGCAGATGACACTCACAATCCAATGGGACAGACGCTGTTTAGAAAGAGGACAGCCTAACCTTGGACCCCCATAGCATAGGAAAAGCTGGTCCGAGCGTCTCAGATTGGCGGTGGCTGCAATGTATGCCTCCAACGCTCTTACTGGGCACAACAACTCCGACTCATTCTCAGTTGTACCAGATTGAGGCTGAAACCGAGCGAGCCGCAATGGCTGGTTACGGTGAAAAGGAGACAACACCTTAGGCACAAACGCAGTATTAGGCCACAGGGTAACACCAGAGCCATCTGGATTCCACCTGATACACCTAGGGCTGACAGAAAGAGCATGTAGCTCGCTGACCCTCTTAGCTGAGACGATAGCCATCAGGAAAGCAGCCTTGCAGGAAAGCCACTTGAGTTCTGCTTGTGCCAAAGGCTCGAATGGAGGGTGGCACAGAGCTGTGAGAACCAATGGCAGATCCCAATCTGGGGCTCGTGGGGCTGGCCGCTGGCACAACCTACGAGCACCACGCAGAAAAAGTGAAACCAGTTCATGGCGCCCCACTGTACGGTTGTCAACAGTTCGGTGAAGACATGAAATTGCTGCAACATACACTTTAAGGGTCGAAGGAGAGCGGCCCTTATCAAGGAGAGACTGGAGGAACTCCAAAATAGTGGGCACCGAGCAGGAAAGCGGGTTCTCATTGTGGGCAGAGCACCACTGAGAAAAGAGGCGCCATCTGTTAGCATACTGCAGCCGAGTGGAGGAAGCCCTAGCACTCAATACGGTGTGTCTCACGGTGTCTGAACACCCAGTCAGCCTCCCAGGGGCCATGCCCACAGCTGGAGACGTTGAGGGTTGGGGTGCCATATCTGTCCCCCCAACTGAGACAGCAGATCCCTCCTTGCTGGAAGACGCCATGGAGTACCGTGACACAGACTCCAAAGCAGCGGGAACCACGGCCGCGCTGGCCAGAACGGAGCTACCAGCAACACTCTGTGGCCCTGCTCGAGAACCCTCCGTAGAGTCGGCCAAACCAGTGAGTAGGTGGGGCAGAAGGCACCTGAGGGCCATGTGCACAGCCCGCAGCTCCAGCACATTTATGTGTTCGGTGCGCTCCCTTGGGTCCCAGAGACCCCGAACAGCTCTGTGTTGCCACACGGCACCCCAGCCCATGAGGCTGGCATCCGTGGTGACCACCTCCCTTCGACACACTACTAGCCCCATTGGAACACCACTGGACAAAAGGGTCCCGTCTCGCCAAGGAGCTAGGGCATGGAGGCAGCTCCTGGTCACCATTAGCCTGCGATGCCTGTGCAGCCTGGCGTCTAGGCGAAAGCTGTTGAGCCATCGCTGCAAAGGACGCAGAAGGAGCAGCCCTAAGGGCACGACACGAGTGACTGATGTCAGTTTGCCCAGCATTCGCAGGAAGGTGATGTAGGGAAACTCCCTGCCCAGTCTGAATCGACGGACAAGCTGGAGTATGTCGTCCACCCTGTGAACAGATGGACGGGCCATCATGGTAGCAGAGTCCAGATGCATCCCAAGAAAGGTGGTTGTCTGAGATGGAACCAGACAACTCTTTGCCAAGTTGACTTTGAGGCCTAACATTGACACATGAAGTAGAAGCTGGGACGTATCCCGAGAGGCAGCTACCTGAGAGGGAGCACAAAGAAGCCAATCGTCCAGGTATGGCAGAATCCTGACTCCGGAGGCCTGTAGAGGAGAGAGGGCTGCTTTCATGCATCGAGTAAACACCCTAGGGGAAAGGGAGAGCCCGAATGGGAGCACCCGGAATTGCCAATGGCGCCCCCGATAGGCGAACCTGAGAAAACGGCGATGTTCTGCCGCAATAGGCACGTGAAAGTAGGCGTCTGTCAGATCTACTGATGTAAACCAATCTCCCGCCACAATGGTCTGAAGGACCTCTGTTATGGTGAGCATGTGGAAGGGAAGGACCTTCAGGTACCGATTCAGTCCCCTTAGATCTAAAATGGGGCGAAAACCGCCGGTCTTCTTGGCCACAAGGAAGTATGTGGAGTAGTAGCCTCTGGGTTGCTGCAGAGGATCTACAGACTCGATTGCCCCCTTGCCCAGGAGGGCGGAAAGCTCCTGGTCTAGTGCCTGAGATTTCACCGGGTCTGTGATGACAGTCATCTTGACCCGGTGTGAGAGGGGGGGCCGCCGTCGGAACTGGAGCCTGTAGCCATTGGTTAAGGTGGCAACCACCCATGGATCTACGGCATGAGCAGCCCAGAAATTCAGCTGCTGATGGGAAAAATGTCCGACGGCTGGCCCGGTGGCATCATCTTCTATCCCCACGGCCCCTGGGGGCTCTGGGGGGAGGGCGTCCAGGATTTGAGGCCCGGGTCTGTCTAACAGGGCGGCAGACTGGCTCACGAAAGTCCCTTCTCTGTCTCTGCCGCACATCATGGGGATAGGAACCAACAGGTCTGCCACCAGTCTAAGGTCGTGGCTGAACGCTGGGGGTAGTGGCAGGGCGGCCCGAACGCTGGGGAAAGGCAGGTATGCTCCTGCGAAGGCCGGAAAGCTGCTGGCTAGTCTGACGTGCCTGAGCAGTCCGTTCCAGCGCCTCCAAGGCAGCTGATCCAAACAGCTCCCCTGGTACAACCGGGACACCCCTGAGGGTCCTACGGCATGCTTCAGTCAGAGGAGACTGTGCCAACCAGACCTGTCTACGAGCTTGGACAAGGAAAGACATGACCCGTCCAAGCTCTCTGGTCATCAGCGCGAAGGCCTGCAGCGCTGCGTCACTATAACCAATCGCCGCACTTGCACCACCAGTGTCCTGAACAGATGCAGACAGGGCAAACATGAGGTGCGCCAGGGAATTGCCAAGGCGGCCAGCACGCGCTCCTGCATTGTACGCCTTACAGAGGAGGTCATCTGTAACCCGACATTGAGTCCGCGGGCACCGGACATCAGGACGCAGGGCTTCATCTGGTGACACAATCAGTGAAGCAACAGCTGGTTCAATTGCTGGCATACGGTCCAGGCCGGCCTTCACTGACTCATGCATGGCAGCTAATACACGACCATCCGAGGAGAGACGCGACAGCGCTCTCGGTTCCCGCCAACAGGCGTGTAACTCCTTCAGGTACTCCTCTGATGGAGGTACAGAAAAAGGAGTAGGAGCCCTTCCACGTCTGAAAAAAGCACTGCCAGAGCTGGATGCCTCTCCTTGTGGGAGTTCCAGCTGCAGCTGCTTCAGGGCCATAGACATGACCTCCCGCATGGAACCGTCACCGGCCTCTCCAACCGCACTCTGAGATGAAAATGAACCAGCCTCAGAGGCTTGAGAGGACCCTGCCTCCTCCTCATCTCTAAAATGAGAAGCGGAGGCAGCCAGAGAGATAACGTCATCCTCTAAAACCAGCTCGGGCATTGGTGGGGAAGAGAGCCCAACCACTGGGAGCGAGGGATCAGATTGCCGTGTCTGCAACAAGGACTTCATCTCTGCCAGCTCTGCTGACAACTGCTCCACCCTTGTGGACAGGCCCTGGTCAGGTTTGGCCCGCTTCCTCCGGGGGAGGGGCACAGATGCTGTGGTCACACCACGGCGCTTAGAACGCTTGTGGGGAACCACCTGCCCAGAGGGCGGAAGGTCCGAGCCCTCCTGGGGGCACAACTGGGCCAACCGGGCCACCCTCACTGCATGGGGCATAAAGCTGCAGTTCATACAGGGGTTCTCAGACAGCGCCTCCAAAAGGTGCTCATGTCCAAGGCAGGTAGGGCACAGGTCGTGGCCATCCTCTGCCTGCAGGGCAGCCCCACAATCTATGCAGCTGTGAGAGCCATCCATGTCGAAGGCCGACAAGGCTTAAAGAACAGAAAGTTATCGAAAATCGGGAGAGGGGGCGCAAACGCAGCCGTCACCAATTACAGCAGAGAAACGAAAGAGGCTGCGAGCACAAGGCAGCCGATACTGGGAGAGGGGGCGAGAACCGCTACCGTCACCAGGTATAAAACCAATAAACCAAAAAAGCTAACAACGTTAGCTGTATGGCAACTTAAGTAGGAAGTAGGAGCGATAAACGCTGCCGTCACCAATTAAGAGAGCAGACCAACGAAAAGGCAGCAAAAAAAGGTTGATATTGGGAGAGGGGGCGAAAACGCTGCCGTCACCATTTATAATTAAGCAGACCGATGAAGAAGGCTGCAGACAAACCAAAAAAGGCTAACAACGTTAGCCGTCTCCAACTTCGGCAACAAAGTAGACCACACTTGGTTGGGAGAGGGGGCGAAAACCGCGGCCGTCAGTAATTATAGCAGCGCAGACCGGTGAAAAAAAGGATGCAAAAGTAGGGAATATACTGGGAGAGGGGGCGAAAACCGCTGCCGTCACCAGGTATAACACCAACAAACTAAAGAAGCTAACTACGTTAGCCGTATATAACTTCGGCAGTGAAGTTATTCACACTGGGAGTAGGGGCGAAAACGCTGCCGTCACCAGTTCGGAACAAAACAGCACGAAGCTGTAGGTAAAAAGCTAAAGTCGTGAGCCGGGAGAGGGGGCGCGGACGCTACCATCACCAGCAAACAACTCACTTACCTTCCGTAATCTTCAGAATCGACCCGTTGCAGCCCTGGGAGGGCGGAGAATAACCGCAACTCCGGTCAAGAGACAGGGGCTTCAGACAACGGGGAAGTTAGCGAACCGCTTGCGAGAAGAAAAAAGGAGCAGAGCAAAGGATGACACCAGGCTATATAGCTTCTGAGTGGTCATCCGGTGTCACAGGTGTGACTCTGTTGGTATAATTACTCGAACTGCGCATGCCCGAAGGGAACATTCAGTGCTTTCAGCACCGCCCTCTGGCGGTCAGTAGGGATGAAATAGAACCTGGATGACTCTTAACTTTCTGCTTCTGAATGCAGACAAAACAGAAGTTATAGTCTTTGGACCAGAGTCTCTGAAAAAGAAGCTGATTAGCCAGTCACTTCATTTGGATGGGATTAAACTGATTTCAGATAATAAAGTAAAAAATCTTGGTGTTATTTTTGATCAGGACCTGTCATTTAAATCCCAGATCAAAGAGGTTTCTAGAATTTCCTTCTTTCATCTGAGGAACATTGCAAAAATGAGCAATCTCCTGTCCAGGGGTGATGCTGAGAAACTAGTCCATGCATTTGTTACTTCAAGGCTGGACTATTGTAATTCTTTACTATCAGGAAGTCCACAAACTGTAGTTAAAAGCCTTCAGCTGATCCAAAATGCTGCAGCCAGAGTTCTGATGAAAATGAAAAAGAGAGATCATATCTCTCCTATCCTGGCTTCTCTTCATTGGCTTCCTGTTAAATCCAGAATAGAATTTAAAATCCTCCTTCTCACATATAAAGCCTTAAATGGCCAAGCTCCATCTGATATCAGAGATCTGATTGTTCCTTATGTTCCTAACAGAGCACTTCGCTCTCAATCTGCAGGTTTACTAGTGGTTCCTAGTCATGTGGGTGTGGTTACCATGGAAACACCAACAGCATCTTCTTCTGCAGGGTACATCAGTCTGTGAGCCGCCATCAACATCTGCTGATCCTGAAACAGAGCGGAGCTGCTGTCAGCTGCCTACATTTCCCAGCATGCAGTGGGTGACCTGCAGGACGGAGCGTTTATCTTATAGTCACTGGATTTCATCTCAGAAACGGGAATCAGAAAAATAAATAGTGATTTGATTTTTGTTTTAGAAAGTCAAAGTGTTTTTGTTTTCCATCGTCAAAAAGGGAACATTTTAAAAATGATTGGATTTTATTTTCCATATAAGGAAACAAAAATGCTTTAGAACAGAAATGAATAAAGGTTGTTTTGTTGGATATTCTTATTGTTCTAATAAGCATCTAATCACCAATAGCTGCTCTATAGATCAGTGCAGCGCCTCCAAACGCGTGGAACCCACAGATCTGGGTCATTCTACGACTCCTGCTTTGGGAAAATGAGCCTCAGATTTTTATAAATAATAATAAAATTATTAAATAATGTTCTAACATTAAGGACTTTATATAGACTATCATCTCCCAGAAAGTAACTTTTAGAAGTTGGTGATAAAAATCCTCACATCTGCTCCATATCTGATTTGTATCCATGGAAACAATTGGCTGCAAATTTTGACTCAATTTTTTATTTTTATTTTTTACCAATTATGTATTTCTTAACAGGGATATCATTCATTTAAAATCTATGGAGTCTAAAAACATTTCTATGTGTTACCGTTGATTTCTTTCTTTTTTTGTTGTTTTTACGGCATTAGAGGCTCGTTTTTATGGACAGTAGGCTGACAGGGAAGGGGGGGGGGGGCATGCAGGAAAGGACCGCAGGTCAGAGTCGAACCCGGGTCGCCCGCGTCGAGGACTAAAGGCTGAATTTGAAACCAGGTCACCTGCGCAGGTGTCGCAGTGAACGCAAAGACGTCCCCGCCCCCTTCTGCAGACGCTCCGCTGCACCTCCACCACATGGCTGACCGCAGACGGGAGGCCAGATTGTTTTGTTTTTATGACTGAGGAAAACGACTCGTGAAGTTTGACCTGCTAGCAGAGCGAGAACGCTGGGACCCTTTTCCCACATGGATCCCCGCTCCTTTTCGCCCTTAATGTCCTTCTGTTGTCGGACGAACTCGCCCCAAGCAGCAGGCCGTCACAGTGAGCTGATGCAGACATTTTTGATTTCTGCCCAACATTGAAGCGTGGTCTGCGCTGTTATTCCACGCCACAACGCCAGAGGACCAATCAGGAACTAGCTGTGGGTCTAGATACGGCCGAGGCGGTGAGGAAGGGGGGGCAAGTCTGTGGGACAACGGAGGGACATGAGGGCCAAAAAGAGCGGAGATCCAGGTGGAAAAAGGGTCCCAGCGTTCTCACCTCGCTCTGCTAGCTGCTCCATCTTCACCAGTCGTTTTCCACAATGGCGGTCAGACAAACAAAACCAGCCGGTAAGGAACCAAACAGGAAATACGCATAGAGTAGAGCGGATGGAGATTGACCAATCAGAGGCCTCCTGTCTGCGCTCACCTACAATATAGGAGAAGTGCAGCAGAGTATCTGTGGAGGGGGCGGGGCATAACTGCGTTCACTGTGACACGCAGACCACCTGGTTTAAATAAATCAGCCTTTACCCCTCCCCTATTCACCCTGGAGCACAGGTGGAGTTAGGACATTTGGGGCCCCAGGCAAAGACAGTCAGGGGCCCCTCTGAATGGAGAAGACAACACATAGAACAGCCCCATTCTCCAGATGTAGAAATGTTAATAGAATAGACATCCATTATCTGTTCTAGGTTGTGTCCCTCTCTTCTTGCCCCTTTTTCTTCTTGTTTTCCTCTCTATGTTTTGTACTCAGCTGACTTTTCATGCTGTCTCTAAAGGAATGAAAGATTTTTTCCAAGCACTAAGCTCACTTAGCTGATTGCTCCTTCCTGTGTTTCCAAAAAGGCCAAAGTAAATAACCCAGTCCTTCTTTTCACTGTAGACAAGCCATGATCTGCTTATCTGTTCTCCATTTTTCATTTGGATGAAATAATAGCTGCATGAATCATGACAGCAGACAAGATAGAGGAGAGCAGGAGGCGGGGTTACCAATCTACTCGCTCTGGAGAGCAGAGTTCGCTGCTTTTAGATGTTGTCTCCAAAGTCTCCAGTAGCAGAAAAAAGTCTCTAGATTTGGCGCTAGGAGCTTTTTAGAAATCAAAGTGCTAGAGGGGTCTGAAAAGTGGCTAAATATAGCGACTAAAGCGCTAAGTTGGCAACACTGCTCTTTGCATGGTTTGTTTCCAAATGGTTTGCTGCTGTCTGTTTGGACCTTTCTGAACATGTGCAGCAAATGGACTGATCCAATATGGTGGACAGCAGGTGATTACCTGTTCTCTTGAGGTTCTGCATGTGGATTAAGAAACTGGAAACCAGCAGAGAGTTTTGGTTCTTTAACCAATTTAATAAATGTGCTGGTATTGAGTTTTACCTCATGTCCACTGCCCTGCAATCACACCTCACGACGCAATCAGACCAATCAGATGCTTAGTTTAATGAAGTATCAGCCAATCAGGATCCGCCATCTATTAAGGTCAGTAGGGGAAGAATCTTTTAGAGCTCAGTGTGAAAAAGAGCTTATGAGGTTTTTACATTTGATCACTGCTGGACTTTATTGATGGAAATCTTCCTTTACTGCCTGGAAGATGAACCAAACAATAAAGTCTAAGAATAATATCTGATTTCATAAAGCGTTTCCTGCTGCAGCGGGTAAGAGATGTATGAAAGTCGCACGGCGAGGACGGATGTAAAGGGGACGTTGGACCGGTCCATTCCAGGATACGGGGGGAGCAGGAGCTGATGTCCATATTTTCCTCATTGTTTGGATGTTAAATCATAATTATTTCATTTCAAACTTGCAGAGCTATCGCAAGCTTCTGTTAGCCATGTGGCCAACCAACGGGGCCCCTGGTGATTAGGGCCCCAGGCGGATGATGCACCTGCAGTTCACCTACCTGCAGCCAGGGGTGCTGCAGAGCTTCATCCACAGTCATCCTTTTGGTGGGATCCACCACCAGCAGCTTCCTCACCACATCTTTGGCTGAAACACCAGCAGACAGCATCTTAGCAACGCTATGACGGAGTGACGGGAACCCACCGTTACCGTGGTTACCGTGGTTGGAGACACGACTCCACTTGGACGGGATCATGGTGAACTCTCCTCTGATGATCTGCTCCATGACCGAGTGCTCGCTGAACCTCTCGTGGAACGGAGCGTAGCCGCTCAGGCTGCCAGAGACACGCTGGTTAGAATCCGGCGCCTGGCCCGCCGCAATGGCAGAGGGGGCGGAGCCTACCAGACAAACAGCAGGACGCCCAGGCTCCAGGCGTCCACGGCCAGCCCGTAACCCGTGGTGGAAGCGTGGGTGAAGACCTCAGGGGCCAGGTAGGACGGAGTCCCACACAGAGTCCTCATGAGGGCCGCCTCCTCCAGGATCCTGGACTGGCTGAAGTCCGTCACCTGACACAGGGGGGCGGAGTCAGAAGCATGAAGAGCTGAGGCTGGGAGGAAGAGGACGGGGGGGCTCACCTTAATGAGACACTCGTCCTCTTTGGAGGACAGGAGGACGTTCTCTGGCTTCAGGTCTCTGTGGATGATGCCGTTTCTATGGAGATACTACAAACACACAGTTACCTGGGCGTCACCCGCTGGTTACCGTGGCGATGGGAGCAGCGCTCACCTGCACGGCACAAAGCATCTGATAGAAGTAGAGTTTAGCGACGTCCTCCTTTAGCTGCTGCTGAGACTTCACCTTCTGGAAGAGCTCTCCTCCCTCCATCCTGAGGACATAGGGGGCGGAGCCACGGCGGGAGGGGATGGGGGCGGAGCCACGGTGGGAGGGGATGGGGGCGGAGCCACGGTGGGAGGGGGATGGGGGCGGAGCCACGGCAGTCAGAGGATGAAGGAACACCAAGGTGAAATGTTCAGCTTCTACTTACAGCTCCAGAAAGATGTAGTAATTGTCCTCTGACTGATAGAAGTCCTTCACCTTTATGAGACACGGCTGCAGAGGACACAGGGGACAGAAGACATAGGAGGACAATGGACACAGGGAAAGAGGGACCGAGTGAACAGAGGGACACGTTGATGAATGAGGATGATGATGCTTTTTTCTCGCCGAGCTTCACTCACATGATCGACTCTCTTCAGGATCTCGATCTCTGTCTCTGCAGTCCTGGTCGCCGTCTGTGATTGGACAGGAGACGGGTCATATGACCAGCTCTGTTTGGGGAAGCGGTGGCAGCCAATCAGAGAGCAGACCTACCCGCTCAGACCGGAAGTTTGCCATGCTGATAATTTTGACGGCGAGTTCGCTGCAGGTGGAGCGTTCAAAGGCCAGACGCACCTCGCCGCAGACTCCTCTGGAACGCAAAGCATGATGGGATATGACACTCCGTGACAGGATGTGATCAGCATCCCGTGGCGCCGTCTACGGCAGCCCAGAGGGTCAGATCAAAAACATCCAGAGAGCAACAGAACCAAACTGAAGATTCACCACTTGGACGACATTATCAGAGATTTGGCCTCTTAGGGGAGGCGGCGGCCTGGGGATAGAGCGTATAGAGACCCGGAACCAGAGACCCGGAACCAGAGACCCGGAACCAGAGACCCGGAACCAGAGACCTGGTCCAATAGACCAGTGGGAACCAGGCGGCAGGTCTGATGCTGAACAGAACTGCAGTGTTTAGTTCGGTAGATCAGAGGTTTTAGCCGTTTGGTCAGAATCAGACTTACGTCCCAATCCGGTGGGTCAGGACATATTTGTCCCGCAGAGCTTTAGGTAAACTGGACTGATCGTCTGACATCAGGTCCATGAAGACAAAAACTGCAAAGACAAGAGACAGGTCAACAGAGACAGCAGACATGTCAACGCAGAAGGGAGACACTAGTAGACAGGGAACCCTAACGGACAGGGACAGGAGACACTAATAGACAGGGACAGGAGACCCTAACGGACAGGGACAGGAGACACTAATAGACAGGGACAGGAGACACTAATAGACAGGGACAGGAGACACTAATAGACAGGGACAGGAGACCCTAACGGACAGGGACAGGAGACACTAATCGAAAGGAGACAGTAATGGACAGGGGAGGAGACAATATTGGACAGGGGACACTAATGGACAGGGAAAGGAGACAATATTGGACAGGGGACACTAATGGACAGGGAAAGGAGACAGTATTGGACAGGGGACACTAATGGACAGGTCCTACCCCGGTTCCGCTGCTCGGCCAGAGACAGCACGGCGTTGTTGGTCAGAGGAAGCTTCTTATTCTGTCCAACTTTTATGCCGTCCACAAAAGTCCCATTGTTGCTGAGGTCCTCCAAAAAGACTTTAGAGCCTTCCTGGGGGACAGGGCAGGTGGGGACAGACCAGATGAGGGACCACAGCAGCATCAGAACCGGATTAGAAGCAGCAGCTGTCCTCACCCTGTAGATCCTGAAGTGCTTCTTGCTGTAGATCCGGAACTTCTGGGACCTCTTGTTGTCTGGGTCTCCGAGGACGTAGTCGCAGCCCGAGTCCCGGCCAAACAGGTACTGGTCCTCTATGCAGTCTGGAACCAAACACAGAGAACCAGGGTCAGTTCTGGTTCTGGTCCAGCCTCCGCGGTGGTAGAGGGTCACCTTGGCTCCTGAAGCCTCGGACCATGGGCAGCAGCCGACCCCAGAGCTCTGGCTCCGCTTCTTCTGGGACGGAGGACAGGGTGACGGGGATGGTGTCCACGCTGCTCACCGTCCCTGAGCCGCTGGATGACTGGCTGGCTGAGGTCGGCCCGCTGGACGAACTAGAACCCTGTGGGGACTTGATCTGGGACGGGGACAGGGTGGACTGGCTCTGGGTCTCTGACTGGGACGAGCGTCCGTCAGGTGGGACGTCCTCAGACATGTTGGTACCTGAGGAGGAATTTAAGACCGTTAGCGAGAAACAGGGACCCTGTTATGGACAGGAGACACTAATGGACAGGAGACCAAAGACCCCATTACAACCATCGATTCCCCAGGAGCCCGACCAGAACCAGAACCAGGACCAGGTTCCTGAATGCCGGGTCGTTACCTGCAGCAGCTGAAGATCCGTCTTTAGCCTGGAGACGCTGCTCAAACAGACGATAACCAGGCTGCACCATCAACATCTATTCTATTCAGTTCTATGCTCCACTTCACAGCCAGTCCTCTCAGGTCTCCTCATAGATCCAGATCAATCAGATCATCTAGTCAGAGACTTTACAGGATGAGCAGGTAGAGACAGTAGATATTGACTCTTCAGCAATCCCTCACACTAAAGGCCTGGTTATCCTCCTGCAGCAATATGTCACAGACATTTTTGATTTCTGCCCAACATTGAAGCGTGGTCTGCGCTGTTATTCCACGCCTCAACGCCAGAGGGCCAATCAGGAACTAGCTGTGGGTCTAGATACGGCCGAGGAGCTGAGGAAGGGGGTGGAGTTTGTGCTACAATGGAGGGACATGAGGGCCAAAAAGAGCGGGGGATCCAGGTGGAAAAAGGGTCCCAGCGTTCTCGCCTCGCTCTGCTAGCTGCTCCATCTTCACCAGTCGTTTTCCACAATGGCGGTCAGACAAACAAAACAAGTCAGTAAGGAACCAAACAGGAAATACGCATAGAGTAGAGCGGATGGAGATTGAACTAACAGATTCTGCAGAGTGGGAGAATAGAGATAGAATGAAGCAGAATGATGAAAAAGGGGTCCCTATGTCCTCCAGCAGTCTAAGCCTATAGCAGCAGAACTATAGAGATAGATCAGGATAACCTGAGCCACTCTAACTAGAAGCTTTATCCAAAAGGAAAGTTTTAAGCCTAGCCTTAAAAGTAGACAGGGTGTCTGCCTCACGGACTAAAACTGGTAGTTGGTTCCACAGGAGAGGAGCCTGAGAACTAAAAGATCTGCCTCCCATTCTACTTTTAGAAATTCTAGGAACCACTAGTAAACCTGCAGATTGAGAGCGAAGTGCTCTGTTAGGAACATAAGGAACAATTTTAGCATCCATGCTGACATTGAAGGCGATAGCTTAAGAGCAGCCTTTAATGCTATCTTAGACACTATTGGCTTTGTTCAAAATGTGAATAGTCCCACACATTCTCATCTTCATACTTTGGATCTTGTGCTGACATACGGCATAGAATGTGAAGAAATAAAAGTATTTCCTCCCAACCCTGTCCTCTCTGACCACTTTCTAATAACCTTCAGGATTACTTTAACAGAGTTCTCCTCCCCCAAAAGAAGGTTACATTTCAGTAGATCTTTATCAGATAGTGCATTTATACAAAAGGCAACTGTCAACCAGCTCCGGAGGCAGATCTGTTCAACAGGGTAAGTAAGCACCCGACTTTAACCACGTCACATTCAACAGAACACTCTTCATTTCTACCTCCAGCCCTGTAGGTGGCAGCAGAGAGTTCATGTCAGGATAATGCCTTAGCCAAGATGGCAGAAATAAGCTTCATCCATTCAACACTTGAACTAGATCAATATCAGATATCAACAGATCGGTATTTGACTGGCTGAAGAAAAACTGGATCTCTAGCCTCAGGATCCCAAATAAACCACCCAGAATCAGAAGCTGAGTAAATACTAGTATAACCTGGTCACCTGCATCACCTGGTCACCAGCACCACCTGGTCACCTGCATCACCTGGTCACCTGCACCACCTGGTCACCTGCATCACCTGGTCACCTGCACCACCTGGTCACCTGCATCACCTGGTCACCAGCACCACCTGGTCACCTGCATCACCTGGTCACCAGCATCACCTGGTCACCAGCACCACCTGGTCACCTGCATCACCTGGTCACCTGCATCACCTGGTCACCAGCACCACCTGGTCACCTGCATCACCTGGTCACCAGCATCACCTGGTCACCAGCACCACCTGGTCACCTGCATCACCTGGTCACCTGCACCACCTGGTCACCTGCATCACCTGGTCACCTGCATCACCTGGTCACCTGCATCACCTGGTCACCAGCACCACCTGGTCACCTGCATCACCTGGTCACCTGCACCACCTGGTCACCTGCATCACCTGGTCACCAGCACCACCTGGTCACCAGCACCACCTGGTCACCTGCACCACCTGGTCACCTGCATCACCTGGTCACCTGCATCACCTGGTCACCAGCACCACCTGGTCACCTGCATCACCTGGTCACCAGCATCACCTGGTCACCAGCACCACCTGGTCACCTGCATCACCTGGTCACCTGCACCACCTGGTCACCTGCATCACCTGGTCACCAGCACCACCTGGTCACCTGCATCACATGGTCACCAGCATCACCTTGTCACCAGCACCACCTTGTCACCTGCACCACCTGGTCACCAGCACCACCTTGTCACCAGCACCACCTTGTCACCTGCATCACCTGGTCACCAGCACCACCTGGTCACCTGCATCACCTGGTCACCTGCACCACCTGGTCACCTGCATCACCTGGTCACCAGCACCACCTGGTCACCTGCATCACCTGGTCACCAGCATCACCTGGTCACCAGCATCACCTGGTCACCAGCTTCACCTGGTCACCAGCACCACCTGGTCACCAGCACCACCTGGTCACCAGCTTCACCTGGTCACCAGCTTCACCTGGTCACCAGCTTCACCTGGTCACCAGCTTCACCTGGTCACCAGAACCACCTGGTCACCAGCACCACCTGGTCACCAGCACCACCTGGTCACCAGCACCACCTGGTCACCAGCTTCACCTGGTCACCAGCACCACCTGGTCACCAGCTTCACCTGGTCACCTGCATCACCTGGTCACCAGCTTCACCTGGTCACCAGCTTCACCTGGTCACCAGCACCACCTGGTCACCAGCACCACCTGGTCACCAGCATCAACTAGTCACCTGCATCACCTGGTCACCTGCATCACCTGGTCACCAGCTTCACCTGGTCACCAGCATCACCTGGTCACCAGCATCACCTGGTCACCAGCACCACCTGGTCACCAGCACCACCTGGTCACCAGCTTCACCTGGTCACCTGCATTACCTGGTCACCAGCGTCACCTGGTCACCAGCGTCACCTGGTCACCAGCGTCACCTGGTCACCAGCGCCACCTGGTCACCTGCACCACCTGGTCACCAGCACCACCTGGTCACCAGCATCACCTGGTCACCAGCACCACCTGGTCACCAGCATCACCTGGTCACCAGCTTCACCTGGTCACCTGCACCACCTGGTCACCTGCACCACCTGGTCACCTGCACCACCTGGTCACCTGCACCACCTGGTCACCTGCATCACCTGGTCACCAGCACCACCTGGTCACCAGCTTCACCTGGTCACCAGCACCACCTGGTCACCAGCATCACCTGGTCACCAGCTTCACCTGGTCACCTGCACCACCTGGTCACCTGCATCACCTGGTCACCAGCACCACCTGGTCACCTGCATCACCTGGTCATCTGCATCACCTGGTCACCAGCACCACCTGGTCACCAGCATCACCTGGTCACCAGCATCACCTGGTCACCAGCTTCACCTGGTCACCAGCTTCACCTGGTCACCAGCACCACCTGGTCACCAGCATCACCTGGTCACCAGCTTCACCTGGTCACCTGCATCACCTGCATCACCTGGTCACCAGCTTCACCTGGTCACCAGCACCACCTGGTCACCAGCTTCACCTGGTCACCAGCACCACCTGGTCACCAGCACCACCTGGTCACCAGCTTCACCGGGTCACCTGCATCACCTTGTCACCTGCATCACCTTGTCACCTGCACCACCTGGTCACCAGCTTCACCTGGTCACCAGCACCACCTGGTCACCAGCTTCACCTGGTCACCAGCTTCACCTGGTCACCAGCACCACCTGGTCACCAGCACCACCTGGTCACCAGCTTCACCTGGTCACCAGCTTCACCTGGTCACCAGCACCACCTGGTCACCAGCACCACCTGGTCACCAGCATCACCTGGTCACCTGCATCACCTGGTCACCAGCACCACCTGGTCACCAGCTTCACCTGGTCACCAGCACCACCTGGTCACCTGGTCACCAGCATCACCTGGTCACCAGCTTCACCTGGTCACCAGCTTCACCTGGTCACCAGCACCACCTGGTCACCTGCATCACCTGGTCACCTGCATCACCTGGTCACCAGCACCACCTGGTCACCAGCACCACCTGGTCACCAGCATCACCTGGTCACCAGCACCACCTGGTCACCTGCATCACCTGGTCACCAGCACCACCTGGTCACCAGCATCACCTGGTCACCAGCACCACCTGGTCACCAGCACCACCTGGTCACCAGCACCACCTGGTCACCAGCTTCACCTGGTCACCAGCACCACCTGGTCACCTGCATCACCTGGTCACCTGCATCACCTGGTCACCAGCACCACCTGGTCACCAGCACCACCTGGTCACCAGCATCACCTGGTCACCAGCACCACCTGGTCACCTGCATCACCTGGTCACCTGCACCACCTGGTCACCAGCATCACCTGGTCACCAGCACCACCTGGTCACCAGCACCACCTGGTCACCAGCACCACCTGGTCACCAGCTTCACCTGGTCACCAGCTTCACCTGGTCACCAGCACCACCTGGTCACCAGCATCACCTGGTCACCAGCTTCACCTGGTCACCAGCTTCACCTGGTCACCTGCATCACCTGGTCACCTGCACCACCTGGTCACCAGCACCACCTGGTCACCAGCTTCACCTGGTCACCTGCATCACGTGGTCACCAGCACCACCTGGTCACCAGCTTCACCTGGTCACCTGCATCACGTGGTCACCAGCACCACCTGGTCACCAGCACCACCTGGTCACCTGCATCACCTGGTCACCTGCATCACCTGGTCACCAGCTTCACCTGGTCACCAGCACCACCTGGTCACCAGCTTCACCTGGTCACCAGCACCACCTGGTCACCAGCACCACCTGGTCACCAGCTTCACCTGGTCACCTGCATCACCTTGTCACCTGCATCACCTTGTCACCAGCACCACCTGGTCACCAGCTTCACCTGGTCACCAGCACCACCTGGTCACCAGCACCACCTGGTCACCAGCTTCACCTGGTCACCTGCATCACCTTGTCACCTGCACCACCTGGTCACCAGCTTCACCTGGTCACCAGCACCACCTGGTCACCAGCACCACCTGGTCACCAGCACCACCTGGTCACCTGCATCACCTGGTCACCAGCGTCACCTGGTCACCTGCACCACCTCATCACCAGCACCACCTCATCACCTGCGTCACCTGCGCCACCTGGTCACCTGCATCACCTGGTTATAGCAACATGACAAAACAGAAGCCAGCAGAGAGATGGATGTCTCCACCTGCGAAAGTAGTAGGCAAGGCTACAGGACAGGGACACGGCAGGACAGGGACACGGCAGGACAGGGACAGTTCGAAGTGGTTTACATGAAATAGACAATAAAACAGAAGAAAATAAAAGAAGAATAAAAGCAAAAATATTTGTAAAAAATAAAAAAATAAATAAAACAATTAGCAGGGGTGGGGGTGGGGGGGCTGCAGCTTCTGATTTGGACTCCTTTACTCCTGAGGTTAGAGACGCCGATGGCTGCCTGCCAATAGCAGCGGCAGTATGAGGCTGTGGGATGATCAGCGATGACTGATCAAAGGGCCCAGAGGCGCTTGGACTTCCTGCGGAGGATGAGGAGAGCCCACCTAAGCCCCCCCCGCCCAGCCGCAGCTCCTCTGCCAGGCAGCCGCAGCTCCTCTGCCTGGCAGCCGCAGCTCCTCTGCCTGGCAGCCGCAGCTCCTCTGCCTGGCAGCCGCAGCTCCTCTGCCTGGCAGCCGCAGCTCCTCTGCCTGGCAGCCGCAGCTCCTCTGCCTGGCAGCCGCAGCTCCTCTGCCAGGCAGCCGCAGCTCCTCTGCCTGCCGCAGCTCCTCTGCCTGGCAGCTGCAGCTCCTCTGCCTGGCAGCCGCAGCTCCTCTGCCTGGCAGCCGCAGCTCCTCTGCCTGGCAGCCGCAGCTCCTCTGCCTGGCAGCCGCAGCTCCTCTGCCTGGCAGCCGCAGCTCCTCTGCCAGGCAGCCGCAGCTCCTCTGCCAGGCAGCCGCAGCTCCTCTGCCAGGCAGCCGCAGCTCCTCTGCCAGGCAGCCGCAGCTCCTCTGCCAGGCAGCCGCAGCTCCTCTGCCAGGCAGCCGCAGCTCCTCTGCCTGCCGCAGCTCCTCTGCCTGGCAGCTGCAGCTCCTCTGCCTGGCAGCCGCAGCTCCTCTGCCAGGCAGCCGCAGCTCCTCTGCCTGCCGCAGCTCCTCTGCCTGGCAGCTGCAGCTCCTCTGCCTGGCAGCCGCAGCTCCTCTGCCTGGCAGCTGCAGCTCCTCTGCCTGCCGCAGCTCCTCTGCCAGGCAGAGGAGCTGCCTGGCAGAGGCAGTTCAGGCAGTTCAGGTATAAAGAACAGGATTTATTTCTTTTCTAGATCCTAACAACATGAGAAGGATGCTAAAGATCTGCTGCTTTTTGTTTTCCACATTAAAATAGTTCTATTTCATTGATTCTACTTCTAGAAATAGAATAAAGACAAACAGAGGAACTCTATTTACACTGATTCTATTTTTCTAGATTTCCACACGGTTCATAAGTAAATTAGTAAAAACATTAATGTATGTAAATAATGTTGGAATCTGTTTATTTGGATACTATTGTATTCCAGATTAAATAGAGTTATATTGTATTTTATAATTGTTAAAAGTGATTTTATATCTTAGTGCTTTAAAACAGACACAAGGAGCTATTTAAACAGTCAGACAGTAAAATATAGGATGATGATAAAAGGTTGTTTTATATTTAATCCTTTACTATTAAAAACACACTAATATAATAGAAACATTAAATAATGGAAGGAAACAGATGCTGCTGCAGGGCAGCCTGAGGGGAAGCAGCTGCATGATGGAAGAAACTGAAACTATTGATTATTCTGCAGATTCATTAATCTGTTGATTATTTTTCCAATGGATCGATTAATAATCAGATCAGCCAAAGGCTCCTTAAAGATTTTTTATGAAATGAAACAGAAACGTTTCCTCTGGAGGAGATCTGGATGGAGAATATTCACAGAAAATAACTTTTTTATCTTAAATGCAAAATGTTTACATATTTTTTACATAATTCCTGCTCTAAGTGGGTCGCTCTATTGGCTAAAGGCACATTAGTGGCCCTAAACTCCAGTTAACCATTAATCAATTACTAAATTAGATGATTATTTAAATAATCGATTAATATGATTAATTGTTTCAACCATAGATAAAATAATGAATGAGTGACACAGTAATTACAGTCATGGCCAAACGTACTGAGAATGACACAAATATTCTATTTCCATCTGATCTGCTGCCCTCTAGTGTTCATGTCAGATGTTGTCATCACATCCAGAAATACAATTGCATCATATTGTGAGCACCAAAGCTTTTAATGACAGAATGAGTTAATGCAGCATGTCAGTATCTGCAGTGTTGACCCCTCTTCTTCAGGACATTTCTCCCTGGCTGCTCTCCATCAGCTTCTGGACCAAATCCTGACTGATAGCGTCCATTCTGCTCCATCAATGCTTGCATTTTATCAGAAGGTTTTCGTTTGTCCGCCGTCTCCTGATGATTGACCACAAGTTTTCAATGGGATTAAGATGAGGGGAGTTTCCAGGCCATGGACCCAACATCTCTCTGTTTTGTTCCCTGAGCCAGTTAGATATCAGCTTTGCTTTATGGCGAGGTGCTCCATCATGCTGGAAAAGGCATCGTTCATCACCAACCTGCTCTGGGACGGTTGGGAGAAGTTCCTCTGGGACGGTTGGGAGAAGTTGCTCTGGGAGGACATTCTGGTTCCATTCTTTATTCATGGCTGTTTTTAGGTCAGACTGGGAGAGAGCCGCCTCCCTTGGCTGAGAAGCAACCCCACCATGAATGGTTTCAGGATGCTTTACAGTCGGCATGAGACCAGACTGCTGGTAGCGCTCACCTGGTCTTCTCCCAACCAGCTGTTTTCCAGATGTCCCAAACAATGGAAAAGGGGATTGCTGAGAGAAAATGACTTTCCCCCAGTCCTCAGCAGTCCCCTCCCTGGACCTTTAGCAGAATATCAGTCTGTCCCTGATGGTTTTCCTGGAGAGAAGTGGCTTCTTTGCTGCCCTCCTTCAGACCAGGCCTTGCTCCAAGAGTCTCCGCCTCACAGTGCAGATGCACTCACACCTGCCTGCTGCCATTCCTGAGCAAGCTCTGCACCGCTGGCAGCCCCATCCCGCAGCTGAAACACTTTTCAGAGACGGTCCTGGCGCTCGCTGGTCTTTCTTGGCGTCCTGGAGCCTTTTTGGCAGCAATGGAACCTCTCTCCTTGAAGTTCCTGATGATGCCATAGATTGCTGACTGAGGAGCAATCTCTCTAACAGCCATTCTCTTTCCTGTTCGGCCATCTTTGTGCAGTGCAATGATGACTGCAGGTGTTTCTTTAGAGATAACCATGGTTCCCAGCAGAGAACCAATGATGCCGAGCAGCAGCCTCTGTTTAAAGTGTCCAGTGGCGTCATTCTGACTCAATCCTGACAGATTGATCTGCAGCCCTGTCCTCATCACCACCCACACCTGTGTTAATGGAGCAATCACTGAAACCATGTTAGCTGCTCCTTTAAGGCAGGGCTGCAATCACCATGAAATGTGTTTTAGGGATAAAGTTCATTTTCTAGGCAAATATTGACTTTGCAATTAATTGCTGTTACGCTGATCACTCTTTAGAACATTCTGGACTTTATGCAGATTACTGTTATAAAAACTGAAGCTGTAGACTTTGGAAATATTAACATTTGAATCATTCTCAAAACTTTTGGCCGTGACTGTACATCCCAGATGAACAAGTTAATGTTTTAAATGCTGAGTGTCAGTTCCTCTTATAGTTCCAGTGTAAATACATTTATTTATTGTCCCTTTAATGTGTTATTTTGCATGATACTAGAAAGCAGATTAGATAAAAAATAAGAGTGGGTTTACCTCTGCACAATTCTATATCTTCAAGATAAAACAGCGGATAAATCCACATATAACATATTGAAACTTTATTTGGTTAAATAGGAACTTTTTTGCCTTCTGTTTTAGTCGCTGGTTAGTTTAAAAGCAAACCTTGTTTCCACGTTGATCAGAACCAGTGAAGCTTTAAACATTATAAACAGCATCTAGTGAGTTTAGCTGATAAGACTTATAATAATGTAGGAAGAAATGCTGCTGTTCTCTATAAACAAGATGTGTCCTGATGCTCAATGACATCACTGACATCAGACCAATGAAACTGAAGACCAACGGTGTCTAAACACCCAAGCTGGAACCAGTCCAGAACCACCGACCCAGTTTAGCAGCTGGAAGCAAACCGAACTCACCGTCCAGGATCCGGGTTCGGCTCCGGTTCCCCAACCTCTAAAGGCGGAACCTCAGATGTCCGGGACACGTGCGGAAGTTTACCGGGAAAAACGCGCTTCCTTGTTTTTTCCCACTTTATGTCACCTGACATTTCCAACCAACCAGCGGCTAGAGGTGCTGTGACGTAGACCGAGATCCTTTTTTTAATTTTTTTTATTTAATGAATTACTTTAAGAACACGAAATAGATAGAAAGAATATAAGATTTATTAACTTGATTATAATAAAGTTAATAAATCTCCCAGGGGGCGGGGGGGTCATATCCACACTCCGTTCCAGTAGGTGGCGGTGCTGCAAATTAATAAGCTGCTGGCCAACCGCCATAAAATAAAGAAGAAGACTGTTTGTTTTGTTTTTTTTAATATAGCTTCATTTACACATTTCAAACATATAAACAATTGACGTAAAACAGGTTTCAGTTAAAATCATTAAATGAGGAGCCTGTTAAAATGTAGATCTCCATCATCCTAACCTGAAACCCCACAGCTGAATAAAATCCTCCATGTTGTTTCTGAGGAAGTTAAACTCCAGCCTCATTCTGGCTCCTCAGAACCGCAGCATCAAGCTGAGCTCTGCGTCTTTATTCCTGCTGTTTAGAAACCCCCCCTATAAAAACTGTAAATACAGCCTCCAAGGAATAAAAACACTGATTAATGGGTTAAAATTGTCTTTAGTTTTGCGTGGAAGACGTTTTCAAACAGAGCGCAGAAAGGACGCTGGTTTAAAACACCGATTAATAACCGATAAAAAACAGTTTGTGGCGAAGAAGAAGAAGGAGGAGGAAGAGAAGAAGAAGAAGAAGGAGGGGGAGGAGGAGAAGGTGGTCCTGGCGGGCATTTCCGGGTACGGTTGGTTCTGTAGAGGTGAAGTTGTTGGACCATCCGGTCCAGAACATGATCCAGAGAGGAACCAGAACCCAAAGGTGCCGAACCTGACCGGAACTAGAAGAACCGGACCGGGTTCGGTTCGTCATGTCCGGCCGGAGAGGCGGGAAAACCTTGATCATCACAGACGGTGAGTCCTTCCGTTCGGTTCGGATGTTCTGGTTCCGATCAGGTTTACAGGTGGTTCTGTGTTTGGATCAGAACCGGTCCGGTTCGATGTTCAGCTTCTGCTTTCTGCAGATGAGGAGGAGGTCCAGAACCAGGATGTGCTGAACCCGTTCTCCTTCAGAGAGTTTCTGCGCTGGAAGAACCAGGACCAGAACCAGAACCAGGACCAGACCGAGGTAGGTACCAGCAGAACCCTAGGATCCGGTTCTAACAGAGCTCTGCCTTTCAGTCCGGTTCTGACCGCAGCAGCTTCCTGTCTTAGAATCACCTGGAAATACAGGAACCCAGGGAGTCCAGAACCAGACCAAGAACTGACCCAGAACCGACCTAGAACCAGCCAAGAACCAAAACTGGATCCAAAACCAGACCAAGAACTGACCCAGAACCGGATCCAGAACTAATCCTGCAACCAGGGGCGTTGCTAGGCACAAAGCTTTACTGGGGCACTGGCCCCCTACTACATATGCCCCTCCTGCCATACATAATTACAGACAAGCACACTGCCCCACCCTGATACATTCCTACCAAAATTACCAGGTGAGATATTAATGAGTATAAGAGCATATTTGTTTTAACAAACATTTTCAACATTGCAGCTATAAAAAATAAGACATCAACTTTAAAAATAAAAGTTTCCTTATAAACATTCTGAAGTAATCATTAATTCCTAGGTTTCAGAGTTTTAGTTCGGGGGAAAGTTTAACTCAACCTGAACTAAGTTTTCTTTTATTTTATGAGCATTAAAGTGTTCCTCCTATTTTTCATTTTTGCAAAGTGGTCAATCACTAGACTGTGACTCAGCTTAGAAAGTTCTTCCTTTTCCACTGATAAAATAGCCAGATGATGGAGCCTATCTGGTCCCATTGTGCAGCTCAGCCAAGTGTGGATCCTTCTCAACACCCCTACAGCTGTAGACTGGGATGGAGATCTGGATGACCTGCGTTAGTGTTGGGAACATGATGTTATCAAGCAAGTTGGAAACACACTGCATATCCTTGATGACAAGGATTTCTTTTTTAACCAGGAAAAGCTCAAACCATTTTGAATTAAATGAACGTTTTTTTACTCCAAATTTGTCCTGGGGATAGTGGGACAACTTCACTTGTTTAGGGCCACCATGCTTTCCCCCTAAGTCACTAATGTCCCCTTCTTGTTTGTGGACGCTGGTTGTTGCTCTCTCATAACCTTCATGGTCCTGTCTCTCCTGTCTCTCTCCTGTCTCTCTCCTGTCTCTCTCCTGTCTCTCTCCTGTCTCTCTCCTGTCTCTCTCCTGTCTCTTGCCTGTCAGTCTCGCCTCCTCCTCCCTTTCCTACTCCAGCACCTTCATTCTCATTCTCTACAGCAAACATTAAAAAACGTAAATCTATAATTATGTAAATATCATTCATATGCCTAATAACGTCCCTAATGTAACTGCTTAGCTTAAATCACTAATTCATCACGGGACCTTACCTCCCTCTCTCATCTTGTTTTAGTGCTTCCCTGTCTCTGCTTCATGTGAGGAATTTCCTGATATCCATCTACAAACCAATGCAGTCATTTTCAGTTAGTAGCCTATAAATCATGTGGTTTCACTGGGAAAATAATAAAATTAACAGGTAAGAAACGTTACCAGAACTAAAAATGCGTCGCGGCCACACAGTGTCCCATCCAACTCAGTAGAGAGCAGCGCGTTAATTTACCTGCAGTTCATGCAGTGACATGCGCTGACGTGGGGGCGCTAATACATCCTCAATTTGGAGTTACCAACACACTTGCTGCGCATTTGAGTAGAAATACACGTCTCCTTCCATTGGAATTATCTAAATTGATGCATTAAAAAAAATGTAATAATGTTGCAAATATTCATAAGATTTATACTGGGGCACAGCTCATTTATACTGGGGCACAGCTCATTTATACTGGGGCACAGCTCATTTATACTGGGGCACAGCTCATTTATACTGGGGCACAGCTCATTTATAGTGGGGCACGTGCCCCAGTAAATGGGGTCTGGCGACGCCGATGCCTGCAACCAACCAAGAACAGTCCCAGAACCAGACCAAGCATTGACCCAGAACCAGAACCCACCCCAGAAACAACCAAGAACCAGAACTGGATCCAAAACCAGACCAAGAACTGACCCAGAACCGGATCCAGAACTAATCCCGCAACCAACCAAGAACAGTCCCAGAACCAGACCAAGAACTGGCCCAGAACCGACCTAGGACCAACCAAGAACCAAAACTGGATCCAAAACCAGACCAAGAACTGACCCAGAACCGGATCCAGAACTAATCCTGCAAACAACCAAGAACAGTCCCAGAACCAGACCAAGCATTGACCCAGAACCGACCCCAGAAACAACCAAGAACCAGAACTGGACCCAAAACCAGACCAAGAACCGACCCAGAACCAGAATTGATCCAGAACCAACCAAGAACCAGAACCGGATCCAGAACGAACCCCAGAAACAACCAAGAACCAGACCCAGAACCAACCCAGAACCAGAACTGACCTAGAACCGACCCAGAACCAACCAAAAACCAGGCCCACAACCAGAACCGGACCCAGAACCAGACCAAGAACCAACCCAAACCAGACCAAGCTTTGACCCAGAACAAGAAAAGATCCCAGAACCAGAACTGACCTAGAACCAGACCAACCTTTGACTCAGAACCGACCCCAGAACAAATCAAGAACCAGAATTGGACCTACAAGCGGACCCAAAACCAGACCATGGACCGACCCAGAACCAACTAAGAACCAGACCCAAAACCAGACCAAGCTCTGACCCAGAACAAGAAACGACCCCAGAACCAGAACTGACCTAGAACCAGACCAACCTTTGACTCAGAACCGACCCCAAAACAAATCAAGAACCAGAATTGGACCTACAAGCGGACCCAAAACCAGACCATGGACCGACCCAGAACCAACTAAGAACCAGACCCAAAACCAGACCAAGCTCTGACCCAGAACAAGAAACGACCCCAGAACCAGAACTGACCTAGAACCAGACCAACCTTTGACCCAGAACCGACCCCAGAACAAATCAAGAACCAGAATTGGACCCACAAGCGGACCCAAAACCAGACCATGGACCGACCCAGAACCAACTAAGAACTAGACCCAAAACCAGACCAAGCTCTGACCCAGAACAAGAAACGACCCCAGAACCAGAACTGACCTAGAACCAGACCAACCTTTGACCCAGAACCGACCCCAGAACAAATCAAGAACCAGAACTGGACCCACAAGCAGACCCAAAACCAGACCATGGACAGACCCAGAACCAACTAAGAACCAGAACCAGACCCAAAACCAGACCAAGCTTAGACCCAGAATCAACCAAGAACCTAAACTAGATCCAGACCCAAAACCAGACCAAGCTTTGACCCAGAACCGACCCCAGAACAAACTAAGAACCTAAACAAGAACCAGACCCACAACCGGACCCACAACTGGACCCAAAACCAGACCAAGAACAGATCCAGAAGCAGAACCGACCCCAGAACCAACCAAGAACCAGACCCAAAACCAGACCAAGCTTTGACCCAGAACCAGAACCGAACCCAAAATGAACCAAGAACGGACCCCAGAACCAATCAAGAACCTAAACTGGAAGCAGACCCAAAACCAGACCAAGCTTTGACCCAGAACCGACCCCAGAACCAACCAAGAACCTAAACTAGAACCAGACCCACAACTGGACCCAAAACCAGACCAAGAACGGACCCAGAACCAGAACCGGAACAAGAACCGACCAAGGACCGGAACCGACCCAGAACTGTCCCAGAATCAAGGACCCTTGAACTAGACCCTAGTTCTGACCCTAGTTCTGACCCGGTATGGACCAGTCTCCTTGTCTTTTCTCTGGAACCAGTAGAAGCAGTTCCTCACCTGCTGGTCACGGCTGCTACAGCATCTATTTTCTCCTCTGTCCAATCAGGAGGCTTGGGGGCGGAGCTTCGTGGATGGGAGCCTGTCCATCTGCTCTACCAAGGATAATGAGGACGATGAAGAGGAGACAAGGTGGGTCGGCCCGTTCTACACCCCAGACCAGGTTGGACTTCCCAGGAA